GCGTCGGCGGAAAGACGTTATGTATCGTGCCCGAGAGACAGATTTGAGACGCGATAAATGCCGCATGCAACTCCTTATGCAAATACGGCTGGCTCGCGCGCAAACGTTTCGCGAACCGGCAGCAAAGGGTGAAGGTTGCTACGATGGCTGCGAAATGCGGCACTATTCGTGCATATATATATATATATGTGTATGTGTGTGTGTGTGTGTGTGCAGGAATACGACCAAATTTTATCGCCACTAATGGACCGGGCTGATTTTACGGATTCACGGATAGATAAGCAGAGCCTTTGACGCGTTGGCGTCCATTGTCGCAGTGTTGTTACACGAACATCAAATTTAGTAGACTTTGGAAATGAAAAATCTACTTTATTTGCGAGTAGTTCACTTGATTATGGAGCCACACTAGATCTGACGCAATGGGAAAATCATGAAATCCAAGAAAATGCTCTCTCGATGACCATTCCCTCTGACTTTAGCGAACTGTGATGTAATCGATGGAAATGATTTTGTGATGGTGGTTAAGGGCAAATCCCGAGTAGTCGTTGGCGAGGATTTACGATCGAAAGATTTTCTCTGAACCAGTGTTTCCCAACTTCGGGGCGTAACACGTCGCCGGAAGAACATCGAGAGGCAATTTTAATATTTCAGGGGGCAATTAGGAAATTAGTGACATTCCTCCAGCTCGTCGACCAACAGTTTTACCTATGTGCCTTTTTTATTTGAAACAGCTATTAACCCTTTATAGGTCAAAAATCGGTCGCCAACGTGTTAACGGTGGGTTTGCCGCCCCATTGAGTTCACGGTTTCTGTAAAGCCAGAAACTCTCTCCAAGTGATGATGGTTCGATGTGTATCTATCCGATGGAAAAATGTAGAGAAAGTGACATTCGATGGAAGACGAAATCGAGTATGCTAAAATCCGTCGAGACTGTAAGTAAAAAAACTGATATAAATAATAGTCTTGACACCTGTTTCGAACGGTGATCGGGTATGGTAATATCGAATCCGTGAAATTCGTGAAGACGGACACATCCGTTGGGTCCTTTTTGAAAGTATTGTAATGTTAGGTTCCACGTTAACTCGATGCGTTTCTGCAGAAAGAAGACTTTGCCCAATAAAGATGCTATCGAAGGTTTTTCGCGAAACTAGAACGTTTAGCGTTGATACATTTCGTTGCATCGATTTTGAGGATGCCTGACACTGCAGTCACTTGTGATCGACGATGCAGTTCCTTGGAGTATACCCATTCTGCTTTCTATCGATCACGGCCCCTCAAAAGCTCTATATTCCAAGAAGTTCTACTCCAGTCTTCGCGAGTATCAAACTTCACATTTTGTTTGAAAATAAAATCCCAGTATGGAAAAATTAAATGAAAGAAACCCAACAGCATGGTACAAAGCTATAAAAATTCACACAGATTATATTATACTGAGAATAAATTGAAGAGTATCAGCGACAAATAGCAAGAAAAATGGTGGAATCCGGGAGGATAAGGGTAAAGCCTGGTGCGTATGTGTGCATCAGATATACGATTCGATCGAGAAGGGTGGAACACGATGGGAATTCGAGGCGCAAGAAAGCTACGTACTATTAATTACGGCTTGCGGGGGGATTATATTGCAGGAGGTGATAATTGCGCATTGACCGAACTTGACACAGAGAAAACGGCCGGTGCAACACAACACTCGACCAACCGGAATCGATCCTCGTGTACGGTGGCTTAGCGATTGTTTACTAGAGCAAGTTTTTAAATTAACCGCCAACCGAGGGGGGATGGGGCGACTTTCACTTTGTGAAACACGTTGCGTAAGCTGTGCGTGCGTGCGCGTGCCCGGTCTCGAAAAGAAGTGATCTTTCGAGAAAACCGTGGGCGAATGATATAGTGATATACAGAGTGATGCAAGAAAAGGAGTTGATAACTTCTAGGGTATATAGTACTCGTAGAATGATGAACAAATATTCTAGTAAGCATGGGTCGGAAGATTAATATTTTCCAAGTTATAAACAATTTTTTATTTCGGCTAAAGGAAGTGACTATCATTTCTAAAGAAAAAATTAAAACCTTTTTTTATTATTTGGCGAGTACTATCTATCCCAGAAGTTATGAACCCTTTTTTGTATCATTCTGTATATGTACTATAGGTGTATAAGACGAGTCCGTTGTGTATTTCGTGCAGAAAATGGTGCTTTCAAGTTTCCTTGCATTTCCTATATTACACGAATAACAAGAAAAAATGTGCAACTAATCCGATAATCCTATTAATACATTTACACGGTGGAAGATACTATAAACAGCTGTGGAGGGTCTTATCTATTCACTCTGAAAACATTAATATTAATAACCGTGAGTTTTTTTACGCAGTATTGGAGATATATGTATGTATACATAAGTTCCTGGCACCACTTGCAAAAAGGAGAAATCAACAGTCTCCGACCACTATATCAGAAGCAGTTTCAACCTGAATGAAGAGGAGCAAAAGAACCCCTTGAGGAAATGGCTTTCCGTTGATCTTCCGGCAAATCGTTAATGTTTTAATTGTTTATCGGTCCCAGACGTCACAAGAGAGTTAATCTTCGATGCGTCACCGTCATTATGCGTCTGTTATGTGTGTGCGCGCACACACAAAAGAGGCGAAGATAGATACAGATCGATCGGAAAATAATGAAACAGTTATGTATATGTATACGCGACGTTGACGGAATCGTGTTTTGCGTGTTTCTCGTTCGTTGGTGGACGGCGTGGCGTGGCGTGGCGTGCTTGGAACCGATTTCCGGTTCGCGGTACACACACGAACGTTTGAGAGCCACTGAGAGACTGATTAAGAGGTATTATTTTGCATCACTATCGTGTGCCAACCCTGTGCATACTTTAGGGTCAAAGCAGGCCATCTTAAGCCGCAGATAATGGAAAAAAGGAAAAAAAGAAAAGACGAGGCGGCGCGCACGAAAGGAACGAGAGAAGAAGGTCTGATTACAACGAGACGCGACCGCTCGGGGAATCGGTTTTGAGAACCGGACGTTTCCTTCGAGACGCGATCGGAGGACCAGCGTGACCCGAACCTGAATTCGCAAAGATTGACCGACTGACTGACTATAAAATATTTTTTATCTCATTCAAAACGTTCGACGATAAAATATATCTCTGTTTAAGCTTTTTGCAATCTCTGTGTACGTACACGCTATTACTCGTTGTATTTATGAGATCGTAAAGTGTATACGAAGAGTATAATTTAATGGGCTATCGGTCACCGACGGTGGAATAACAATTTTTTTTTCTTATTTAGTAAATTCTGCAGGAACGAAGTTTGTACTCTTAATGGGGGCGACAAAGCCTCGCATAGTTATCATTTTTATTCGAAATAATTATTTGTCTTTATTCTACAGAGCATACACGCGTAGGGATTTGATTGAAACAGAATATTCATTGAAGCGGACGTTATATTGGTTGTTTATTTAAAATTTTGTTCAAACCGAATCGGATCAATGGACCGAAACATAAATACTGTATGAACGGTTAACAAGTATATTCAACGAATTAAGAGTAAACCTTGTATAATCTCACTTTACATCAATCCCGTGCTACATTCAATTTGATTTCGAAATCGAAGATACTTCGAGATATTGATTGTTTCTTGGAACGTATACAAATACACGTTGCACAAATCGACGCCTCGCTATCGATCACAATTGTTATTATTATTATTCCGATAATATTCTCGTGATTCGTAATTCGTCACCGATTAAAATATGCTTAGATGTGATGGACGTTAAAATAATTGCAAAATGGTTATTTCGAACTCGTATTCAGACAAGTTGAGTAGCAATCTGTAGAGAAAAAAAAACAATTATCGAGAGTTTAATGATGCTTTACGTATTTTTTAGTTGATTTCAGCGGTACGCCATATTGGTTTCAAACTGAAGGGGATGAATAACGTAAACAGAAAAATAATTCTATATGTATAATATAATATAATAAAACACATATTTAATTAATTTACAAAATAGTTTACAGCGAAAGTGTAGTTAAACAATCGTCGCCAATGAAAACTTCCATTGCAATCGCAACCGGTTATTGCAATTGAATTATTTACGTTTTGAGAGGTGTATACACTCGGTCGATAAACACACGATCGTACAAAAATGTGCTTTCGTATTGAAGAAACGTATTCGACCATGATAAGCGTGCAAAGTGCGGGCACGATTTAATACAACAGTTTGCGTAGTGTCATACTTGGATCAATACAATATTTCTTGGTCGTTCGAAGAAAACATGTAATCGCGCCGAGGTACACAACGATATCTATTTTTCATGTTTTATCAACTAGCACAAAAGTTTAAACGTATATCGGTTCGGTACGAAGCAATTCAGTTTCCTTGAAAAAACGGCTGATTTATCATAATCGCTAATCGGATGACGCTGCGCTTTACAGCGATCGCGGAAATAAATATTAATATCATGTGTAAGAATTCGTGAAACAGAACCACTCGAAACTATCGATTCTATCGTATAATTAGAACAAACGATTAAGTTGGATCGATTCGTTGCTTTCCTCCAACGTGCATCGCGTTCCGTATAGTTTATTTCCCGTCAGCCATCGAAAAATGGAAATTACTCAGCACTACGATTTACACGTGCTATCACGGTCCCACGAATCCGGTTCCGCGAAACTAACCAGGCCTTTTCGGTACGCTTCGGACGTGTGCAAGAGTAATTTCGGTGAGCAATATCGATCCGGTGCGGAAGCAAATAAAACTCTCGCGAAGAAAGGGAGGCAAAAACAGGATAGATGCAGGGGGAATGAATAACGAGTGAAAGAAGGATAGGGACAATGGAAAACGAGACGAAAGAAACGTTTCATTTCCCGTAGAAATGGAGACGCGAATCGGCGCACGTTCTCTCGTGTCCAAAATGGCTGATCGCTAAAATTAGCGTTGGAAAGCAACGGAACGATACCGGATAGGACGTCGTCGTTGTTACTCTGCCCTGGTTCCACTCACCTTGACGTCGAAGAAAAGTCATATAAAATGGTATCGCCCTGCTGGACGGCCGCCTTCTAGCGTGAAAATTGAACGGGTGGATCGTGGGTGGATCGCGACAGATGGATCGCACTGTCGGGTGCACCCCAGTGTCTCGTTTTACGTCTCGCTACACGATATTGCCTGCGAGAGTCGCTCGTGAAGACAGCCCAGTCGCTTCGAAGTGACACCGTGACGATGCTTTCCTTCCAATTATTCAATGATTCTTCGTGCTCGACGACAAGCTGTGTCCCTGTTGTCGAATCGTTGTACGAACTCAAAATCTTCGGCTTTACGTGCTGTGCGTACCTTTATTCGACCACGACGTGCACTCAGTTACGTTCCGGCTTCTGAGACGGCTACTGCCTGAATACAACTGCGAACGAACGACCAAACCAGGGCCGTAACATGATTCAGGGATTCCCGGTTCGTGATAGCGCCGCCTCAGTGAACGTTTTTTTTTCGGTGATCACGTGATACTCACATATCATTCGAAATGACGCAATACGACGATCAGAGTTATACATTTGGTCCTTTTAATATTATTTCCAAGCAAATTTTTATAGTTCTGCCCACCAAGCCGAAGTATAAATTGTTTACTAACCAATTACCTACTTAACCTTAAGGAAGAAAACTTTTTGGCAACATGGTAGTCTTGTCTAATTGTAGATCATAGTCTGTGTTTAAGTAACAGTACCTAGTGTGCTAGTGTGTTAACAAATAATTGTCGTAGAAGGAAGGAAACATTGTTACATTATATAATGAAATGATAAAGATCTTAGTTAACGTTGATGGGAAACAAAGATATAAATAATGAGGAACTGTTATTACTGTGATTATTTATGCAACTGTGTAGCTTGTAATTATATGCACACTTTGTTATCGTCTCAATGTCCGATACTTTTAGATATGCTACACAAAAAATGCAATGAAGTAGAGATTTTAATACAGTTTAATAAATTGTCCTTTTTATTTTGAATCTGGTAGAATCATTAAGGAAGATAATCAATTTCTACTAACTTTTAATTTTCTAAAATTAATCCACAAAAATTTGAATTTGCATAAACATCTGCAGTTCATTCATATGTTTCTTAAACTTGCCGCTAAAATCAAGTACACGACTTTTTCCTAGTGATTCGTAATAGATTTCTCATACTTTTTAAACGTAGCGCTTGGTATTTCACATTTTATATTACTCTGATGCAACATCAGATATACCTAATTGTGATATTTGTAACAGAGTTGTGATGACTCTGTGATCGGCAATATCAGGCAATATAACCTCAACGTCAGTGCAAAAAGAAAATGCGCACGTGATGGGTGTTACACATCTCTTTAACTGTATATACATTGATTTATAATAAATGTAATTGCTGGTATACCTGATACTACTTACATTTGCTTATATTATGACGAATAAATCGTGTTGAACGTTATTACAATATAAATAATACTTCGACCGTTATCAGTCGTAAAAGTTGAACTTCATAAGTTGTTAATGTTCATCGTTAAGTTGAGCTTGTAGAATATCAAAACGCGTCGGAAAAAATGACTTCGCCGTTTACTTGTATCACATGCCGTGTGGCATTTCGAGATTTAGAGGTGCAACGACAGCATTACAAATCGGATTGGCATAGATATAACTTGAAGAGGAAAGTAGCTGAACTGCCTCCTGTTACTGTGGAAGAATTCCAAAAGAGAGTTATTGCACAGAGGAACAAAGATGACAAACAAAGGGAAGAAGAAACAACGAATTGTAAAATATGTAGAAAAAACTTCAACACAAGAAATCAATATGAGAATCACTTGTTATCGAAAAAACATAAGGAGAAATGTGCAAGACAAAGCACTATAGAAGAAACTACCAATGACTGTATAAATAATACAGCTGATTCTTCTCCTAATTCTGTAATAAAGAGGAATATTCAGGGAGAAGGTTCTAGCAATACCAACAAGCGACCAGCAGAAGAAATGGAATTAGATTCTGATATTGAATCTATAGATTCAGATGAATGGATGGAGGATGCGGAGAACCCAATAAAAAATAATGATTGCTTGTTTTGTGATCATCATAGTAGGTCTTTGGTACGCAATTTGAAGCATATGACTGTTGCACATTCCTTCTTCATACCAGACCCTGAATATTGTACAGATATTAAAGGTTTGCTTACATACCTTGGAGAAAAAATATTTGCAGGATATATGTGCATCTGGTGCAATGATTCTGGTAAGGAAATTCAATCTGTTGCTTTTTGAGAACTTTTATAATAATCCATATATTAATTATCACATATATTATATTATTTAACACATTAATAGGGAAGAGCTTCCAAAGTTCTGATGCTGCTAGGGCACACATGGTGGACAAGGGACATTGTAAAATGCTACATGAAGGAGACGCGCTAGCAGAATATGCAGAATTTTATGATTATTCATCCAGTTATCCCGATGCTGAGAATGGTGATCCAGATACAGAGGTCGAAATACCTGAGCTAGATGATAATGACTATCAACTGGTCTTACCATCAGGGAATGTTATTGGCCATAGAGCTCTAATGAGATACTATAAACAAAACTTAAATCCAAACAGAATAGTGGCAATACCAAAGAAAGAAAAAATCCGAAAAGTACTGTCACAATATAGAGCTCTTGGATGGACAGATACTCAAAAAGAGATTGCTGTTAAGAAAGCCAAGGATATTAAATACATGCAGAGAATACAAGCTAAATACTCTACACAATTGCAGTTTAAGGCGAACAAATTACAAAGATACTTTAGACCCCAAGTAAACTTCTAGACCTCTCTAGAACATGTATAAATATTGTTGCAAGACTGCATTCCTTTTAAATTTTAGAATTTTTATGCTAAACTAATTGTTAGGCGTGCTTACTGCGTTGCATATTTATACAATTATTGCTGAAATAAACTTGTACTTATTTAATTGAAATCTGCACTTGAAGTTTGTTGGTCACAATTATTGGATCAAGCGATGAGAAACTTCTCTCCATATCAAATTTATTTTGATGAAGGATACTCTATAATTAAAATTAACATTATTAAATTTACTAACAGTTATTTAATACGACTTATTCCCGTATTATTACACTCTAGGAGTGAGAAGGGTATATTACGAGCCATGGATGTTTATTTTGTAATAAATATTTATTTGGCGGATATTCTTACAAAATAACTTGTAATATATTTTCGTAACACGTGATATCAACAAAAATATTCCTTGTTACATTTTAGTTTATACTCATAATGGACCCGTTATCCAGTAATTCCTGAAACCATGAGCTAAATCACTGTTTTTCCATAAATTCTTATGCACGGATCCAGAATCGATCCGTGATCACCCATGACACGGCTGTAAAAAAATTCGTAGACGATTCCGAAAACCTCGAAAATGCCCGCGCGTGTGTGTACTATGTACGTATACGATATACTTTCAATTTTCCATCAGCGAAACCGCAGAATCTACAGAAGAGTCGAACAGATGTCAAACTACGACATTTGAAACCGCGGTTTCATTTTCTTCCTCTTACACGACATACAAACATGTATAACTGTATTTCGTGGACCTTTTCTACCATGTGAACCAGATCAGCTGACCTCGCCGAGTTTCTTCTGAATTAACAGAATGCGGAACGAAAGTTCAGCGAACGTAACGCTAAATATAGATCCTTTAAGTGTTTCGTTTGTCTTTCAATATATTTTTTTTTTCAGGCTTTTCCTCTGTTCTTTTCTGCGTAACAACACACCGTTCAAAACCAGAGATGGGCAAATTTATTAATCTAGATAAAGAATTTCGAATAACGATTAAAAAATAAAAAAGTATTTCACTATTTTTAGTTGATTAAACTTGGACATTTCAATTTTTATAATAAATTAACATTTCTTCTCGAATGAGTAGACACTTGACAAGCAATTGTTTAATCTTATTAACTGTTTAAAGCTGAAGATGATGATCTTAGATACTGCTGCCTTTCACTATGTATTATTAGAATAAAATTATGCCCAACTCTGCTTGAAACATAGAGAGGGGGACAGGAGACGATGCTTCGAATTTTTTTAATACGTTCTACGTGAAACACGCGCATCCCAGCCCCTCTTATTAGATTATAAATACTTCTTGTAACTGTGTCTTCTTTTTTAGACGAACATACATTAGAGAGCTGTTATTGTCACACAACGATACATATAATTTTATATTCTACTTGTTCATCCGTAAGATCTTTTCTGATCATCGAATATTTCTCAAAATAATGTTGAATCTCCTGTTTTTGTTCTGTCTCTTTTAATTCAATATCTTTACCATCAGCTTTAGAGATTCATGGGGCGGAGCTGGTCGGATAGACTCGTCGAGTTCCGTGTACGGAATCTCCGCCTCCACCTGGAAACCGTGTTTCGAGCACACCTTTTGGGAAAACATCCCGGTGGCATCCGCCTTGAACACCTGCAAACACATCGACAAAACTCGTGAACCAAGCTCTTTGGAGGTTCTTGTCTTACACGAACATTTACATACACTTCGACAGTACACCGCGTGCAAAGGAAAGTACCTCCCGCGAAAGTAACGAGTGCAATGCAATTACACATCTTGGTAAACGAACAATCACCCCCATGCATTTACGATCGAAGAACATGCTGAAACAAAAACAGAATGTGAACTGATTGCTGTCCCGCGACGACGTCATTTGGCAGGTTTAGGAGATCGAAAACCAGTTAAATTTCGTCATTTTGTTTGTATCCTTTTCTTTAGGTCGGGATCGAGGGTTTTGTAATAGGTTCAAACCGTCAAGATGCAAACAATGACATGGACCCTGTTGAAAATTACAATTCCACATTGAGGGGAGGATGGGCGTGCCATAAAATTAGAACACGATGGCGTCAGGGAGTGGATGAAGGTCATGGAGCATCGTTTCAGAGGGACAAGTAAGTTTTTTTTTTTTTTGACTGAACTCAATGCATGCAGCGAACATCTACACACGGAATTACATGTGTGTGCGTGTGTGTGTGTGTGTGTGTGTGTGAAACTTCGTAAAGTGTATCACAACAATTAAACCGGTGGTATAGTTACCTTGAAGCCAGCGTTTCTCGCAGTTTCTATACTGTCCGCCATCAGAACGTTCGCCAGACCCCTTCCACGGAAGTTTTCATCGACGCTGAGGATTCGGCACTCGAACAACTCGTCGACATTGTATTTGGCGAAGAGATCGACCTTCGCGTTGACCTTGTAGAGAAGCCCGAAGATTGTTTTGAATTTCTCATCGTTCAGCTCAACGAGCCGACGTTCAGCCTCCTCCCGTTCACCAATCTTCAGGATGCCATTCAAGGCCATGCCTGCTATCTGATAGAACAATTCGGACGTTCGATGATCACGAGGAATAGAATAGGACAGTTAGAAATCAGAAGTCGGCTAGAATTCTACCTCCGAACATAATTAAAACCGTATTCCTCGAGGAAGGATGGAACAAGAGCCACAATTGTCTCCTAAAAATTTTACTCAACTATTCAAACATGCGAAATAGAATTGAAAACAATCTGAATAGTCAAGTAGTTTTAAACTGTAGAGATATTGAAGGATCTAGTACAGTGATACGAAAAAAATTTGTTGTAATGATTAGAGAAAAAGTTGTCAGAAAACGGAGTCTGGGGTAGATACTTACCCCACGTGTGGCTTAATGAGGCCATAGAAGATGCTGTTGTGCAGAGGATTAATCTTCAAAGTCCGTATATTATAAGAGTATTTACTTTGTTGGCAAAGAAATGTGCAAGAACGATAAGGAGAGGAGAAGGAATCATAAAGTTCGAAGAATTTCCATTTCATTCGATTCCACTTACCATCCCATTTTCATCCACCAACATCCTCGAGTATCCCTGCTTTAAAGTGAGCAGACAGTGTCTCGAAAGCTCAAACTGGTTCTCCCCTTTCTCACAGAGACCCACCGCGTGGTTCAGAGGTTCGTCGGAGAAGAAATTCCATTTCAAGTGGTCGATCGCGTCCCCGAAACGATTTTCCGGGACTTCCACGGCCTTTAAATGAGCAGACGACATCTTTGGGGTGGACACGGCACGAATTTTCCGCGCACTGAAAGGATTTTCCACGCGCGCAACCACCCTTAGTAGGGAGAGTTCTCTCATATGGGAAAAGGTCCATATATTGATTGACCCAGTTCAACAAATTCACTAGCTACGATGATTATACATCCTCCTTAATTATTCTTAACGCGAGGCGCGCGTGTCAGTAGCACCCGTAGCCTATAACGACAATTTATGTTAGTAGTCCAATGACAATGTAGCCACTGGATTTAGCTCTCGGTATTAATATAATTAAAGCATGTATTTATTCTCCGAAGAATATATCTGGTATAATATAATATGTGGGATTAGGAGAATATGATGGATAGAGAAGAATATACGCACAGGAGTAAATGTATATGTACACGTTTATTAGTCGTAAATTCTTACTAAACACTTGATTCTATAACCTTTCACAATATCTCCCGCGAATCGTTTGCGTTTCATGATTTCTGTATTGATATATTAACAACACGAACAGTTTGAATGCGCTTATATAGAGTAGGAGTTTCAACAAGCCAGTGACAAGTGCCCCGACAGCAAATATTAACATTTTTCAAATATGGTACAGCAATAGATTCTGAAGTATATTACACATTACAATGAAAACATGTTAACAGTGCTGTGTAGGCCACCATTATCTGTTACTTTTCGGTAACATAATCTTTCAATACAGCTATCCTTTGAAATCAGTATTGCCTAGGAAACTTTTTGAGGGGGAACAACTGTATTATCATACTTCACTGAATTCGCACTTGACACATTCATTCAGAATTAAAACATACTTTTCTTTTAATACTTCGGTGTGAAAAGACGCTATGTACAGGTTTTAGAACAAAATATCATCATCTCCTTCATCGAGCATGTTCGGCGTTTCGATTTCTCGGCCAGCAGCAAGCATTTCTGCCCTGATTACATCAAGCTGAAAAAGAATTTGAACAATGTACACATTTTTTTGTAGGAAATTAGAATATTAGTTCCAGAAGCTAAATGTTACCTTGGCTTTTGCTTGCTTCTTTTTGTCTTGAATCTTCTTTAACCGATAGAACTCTTCTCTCTCCAATTCATCCAGCTCAGAAATTATGTAAGCAAGAGTTCTTTCAATTCTTGGAATGATAACATGCTCAATAGCATTAACACGGCGATTTGTGATTTTAATAACCTCGTCCAAAGTCACAAAACTTGTCTGCAAAGATGCTAATTCCACTAACAGTTTCACTGCTCTCTGATAATTCTTTTTTAACTTAGCTAGCTGCTGACCACCTCTTGCCAAACCTGCTAGCTCGTATGTATCTGTGCCATCTTGATATGATTCAAATACGGGAAGATTAACACCAGCCACATTATCTTTCTTAGAACGGATTTTAATTTGTGCTTTTGTCACATTCTGTAGAACTACTTGATTAAAGTCTCCAGTTGTAAATTTTGCTTCGGCTAATGAGAACGCTGCCTCTTTCATCACTTCGCCCATAAGTGTTTTAGTCTGGCAAAGAAGATGATAAATAAAAACAGTACAGTATAAAAGATCAGTATTCAAAAACATAAGCAAGATAAATTTACCTCAATAATTTTACCCAAAATCATTCTGAAACGCATTTGTAATGCGTCAGCTTTTTTCTTCAGTAAGCCATGACCTTTTGTTGCCCCTTGTAGTCGGGATTTCATTAACATTTGTGCCCTGAAGAATGAAGACAAAAATTAAAATCCAACACTAATTTATTTATATAGTAATATAATAATAGAGCTATACAAAATATGTAAAGAACCATAATATTTCAACTTCATGATTATGAGCTATTGTCATAATTCCTAAGAATACAATAATATGAGAATAACATAATAACGTATTTAACAATACAGTTCAGACATTTAAAACTCAATGATACAGGGTTACACCCATTCAATGATGGATGTTGAGGGTCAGGTATAATACGATAGAAACTCGGAATTCATGTTAAATAAATGACAGGATTAATCGATGAAGAAAAATAGAGTGTTTGAGGAATTCATAACTGAAATACTTACCCCCGAGAAGGGAAAATAGGAAGTTTATCTTTTCCAGACATTGCTGTGAGAACTATCAAGCAGACAGGAATGAGATTGATCAGCTGACTCGCGGGACCGGAAGTTTCCAAGGTAAATGCAGTTGCGCGTGATCGAGCGCGTGATTTAAAATAACTGAATCATAGATAACTTTTGAATAAACCACATTGTAATCCTAATCAATATTTCATGTCTGACGATAAGTAATTAACCTATTGACAGTTGGTCGTGCAGTTAAAATAATTTCTTTGTTTTTTTCATGTAGAAATGTAATTTTTTCTTTATCGAGATTGTAGAACAACTGAAGAATGAAAAGTGTCACATTGACATCACACATTTCGGATTTAATATTTTGGAAATGAATTAATTTTTACGACTAAATTCAAAATTTACTGTAGAAATGCACGGTTCAACATAACTTTCATAATACAATAATGAACGGCGAATGTAAGAATCAGATAGTTTGCAATGACGGAAACGCAGAAAACTTCCTACACATTTGAAGAAATGAAAACCTCTTTTATACAACGATTAAAAAAAGAGAATCGTTGTTTCTTTGTGAGAGATAACAGATTGTCGAATACATTCAGGATAGACGTGTGTGCTGTCAATCCGCATAATTCGCATAGAAGCTGTTTATGTCCAGGAATAATAAGGAGAGCTTGTGAAGATATTCTCATGAGAATGAATATTAATAGCTTAAAATTATAGGTTTGTATATTAAATGTGAAATAAGGATTCTATCACAAAATTAAAGAGGTACATATTACAGACAAGATTTCTAATAGGTGCATTCAGATACTTTTTTGACAAGCTGCCACTGATTTCAAGGAAGAAATGATTCACACACCAGATATTTCTAAAGATTTCATTCTTAATAAGGCAGTTCAAGATGCTACCAGTATTTTACTTAAACCATACACACGTGTGATATTATCAGAATCTACTTCATCCCCAATTATTTGTGATAACAATTATCAAGCTGTAAATTATTTTACACAAAAATGGATATCAAATTCACAGGAATTTTTATTGAGAATGACAGCAATTGCATGGAATTTCTTAAATGTCTACAATGCATTTCAAAAGGAGATCGTAAGTCAAATTATGGAAGAAGATGCAGACAGTGAAATTTAAATTTTTATTCAATTATTATTAATGGACATATTAATTAATATTAAGACAAGAAAAGCATTAAAATTAAGTATATTATTATAGTGCACCTTCTACTGCGAATTAGAGGAAAAATGAACGTGGAAGGCTAATGTAATTGATATAAGTATTTTTAATAAAACTGTACACAAAGACTCTGAACAATAATTTATAACAAGGCTGACTGTCCAGGTTTCAGTACTTGTCTTACATTCATATTTATTCTAGCTTGAGAAATATAGACCTTTGCTTTGTTCCAGTCATCAGGTAGGTATTTACAATGCTGCTCCTCATTATTATTTGAGTCTTCTTGGTCCCATGGTATAACAGTTGCTGGTAGAATTTTAGGTACCCCATGGTACCTTAACCGTGATTTTCCAGACATTACTACTATGTCTCCACTTCTTAAATATATGGCATTGGCTGCATCATCCTGCTTATGCCCCCCAATTAAAAATATTGCAGTTTGACCAAAGCTTATAGAAAACAAAGGTGCATCAACATTAACTTCAGAATGATCAGTATGTCCTGCTAAGGTTGAATTCATCCTATAGTAATTGATGATTGCTGCCTGTGCTTTAAAGTTCACAAAGTCCAAAGCTTCAGCCAAATACAAAGTCAGCAGTGACAATTCAGTAGGCATTTCTGTTTTAGATACTTCTGAATACAATTTAGTATCCCAGTTATGATGATATCCTAGTGTTGCCCAACGCAACTTTGGTAACAACTCTTTAGCCTTGTTAGTGGTAAGGCATATGTCCCACCAAGTTTCAATGTTATCCAAAACATCATGAGCATCTAGATTTAATTTACTTGGTTTCCTTGAGTAGTCTTTTAAGCATTTTATAATCCAATATCGCTGACCAGCAGTGGTAAACGGATTTCTTATAAAGATGAGTCCTAATTACACATAAAAAAATTGTGTAACAATCGGAATATTTCTGCAATATCGACATGCATACCTGGAATACCTACAAATTCATAAACCTGCCAATCTTTAACTGGTTTTAATCCTAATTCACATTTTTCATTCAGGAACTTCCCTCCAACACATGTCTTCCGTATAACCTAATAAAATATTAAAGATTTATACATGTAAAACATATGAATTGCAGTTGATAACATACTTTGCTGCCATTTGGACCATTCAAATCGATTACATCTTTCAAATCAGGAGGTGGGTTTCGACTTTTGTAATACTTAAAGCTATCTTTGAACATTCCTTTGAACTGTGGGTGTCGCCATTTTATTATACAGTTCCTGTATTTATTTGTAGACGTCGCTAGCGTCTCTAAAAATGGATTAGTGCAATTTGAAAGTAAATTTTAACGGAGATTCCTATGCAAGATACGATTAAATGCTTCAGATGTTTGAAGAAGAATGTCATTTTGACCTGGTTGCGGTATGTGGCCGATCGAAAGTATTGATCCCGGTGTCATTAACCATATCAGCATGGCCTTTCCTCGAAGTACTGATAAAAATCAAGACGACATCAACGTTATTCGTTGATCGTTCATACCAACACATGGGTAAGCGATCACAGAATGAATCTACGATACAAGTGACTAAGAACGAAGAAGCGTTCTTCGAGCGGCCACGTAAACTGCGTATTGTGCCATTACGATTATTCGATTCGCTCGCGATTAGCATAATACCATCATCGTTGTCGCAGACATTAATACCGAGATACGTATCGAAAAACTGCGAGATTCAATTAGCTTTTTTCCTTGTTGTACAGGCTGGCCCGTACGCGAACCGTAATGGACTGTGACTAATTTTAGAGCGTAATTTTCGCATAATAACACTGCCGGGAAATCTATGATTTCATAGAGTCAAAGAGAGGCACGCCGGTCGACTTCAAGGCTTTTCGAAAGCTTCGAGTAAATTAATAGCGCGCACCGCGCTAATAATCGTCCATTACCATCGCTTCTATTCTCCATAAATTCCACCCACCCTGCAACGCGATTTACTGTTCACCTGTAAGAATGAGTCTCGAGCTAGTTCTCGGACTCGGTCGCGTGAAATGTCACTTTCGTTATTATTAACCCGTTAACGGGATGTTTTTTTCACTGAAACATAAATTTTGTGTCTCCAGTTCTCAAGCGTTGATTCCACAAGGACCCAAGTTTCTGTCTCCGGTTCATAAGATGTTAATAATCGTGTTAAATCTAGGTTACGTTGTTACGTATTATTGACCCTGTAAGATGCACTTGAGAGTAAATCTCTCTCATTATAAATAATTTATGTCTATCGTTCTAGGGTTTACATGCAGAGGATAATCAGCCGCGAAATTTCTAGACCAGTCTAGGCGAAGCCCGAAACATCTTTCACCATACCGTCATGATCGAGTAATGTCGACAGCGAGGGAAAGGGACAGAACACGAGTCACATAGGTATTGACGAGGGGACTGCAACGATCTGTTACGCATCGATTGTAATGAAACTTTGTAGAAAGGTAAAATAATGTTTCCTTCATTTCAGAGAGAGCTTCCTGCAAATAATAGTGGCATAGTGGAGACCAATGATCTCAAAGTGAATTCACTAACTACCCAAATGAATGTGATCTACGAAGTTTCACCACAATCGGTGCACATAGGGATGCGTTTGAATACCGAAGGAAAAGTAAGTTAGCATTAATTTCTACAGTTTGTTCCGATAAACCTATTAAACAACGGTTGGCAAGTAAAGTGTGAAGTAACGTTGGAACGTCTTCATGACGCGAGGTATGCTTTCAGGGGTGTAGAATGATAGATGCGAGCTGTATACGAGAGGTTTCCCCTCGTGAGAGCGCGCGACACGCGGCTGAATGCTGGCGCATTAAGGGAGCGCGTATTCCTTGACAGTTTCATGTCAACAAATGTCGTGCCCGCGGAGTCGCGCCCAGCCGTGAGCCAGGCCTGCAACCAGGGAATCGCAGCGTATTCGCGAGAAATTATCCACAGTCGTGCGCCGGCAGCCGACGGGGAAGGACGGTGTGGCGCGGTACCGGGGACACACGCTGTGTTGTTGTTCGCACTGAAAAGGTAGGAATACACAAACGAAAACACAACCGTCTCTCCTCTCCGCACGTGATAAAGCTCTTTGTAGGTCGGCGAGCGGGCACGCGGCTATTCTCGTAATATAGTCCGAGGGTGTAGCGGCGTATCGAGGCCTCTCGCAGTGTGTTTCGTTTAAAGGATTCTCGTGGCGATTGTCAGGCGTTCGTGAATCTAGTGATGTTTCTTCCTTGGATCGATTTTCGGAAAGTTCGACACAGTGACCGTTACGATGAATTATTTGTTCCCGAGACTGGTGATCTCGAAGGAATCGGATCGATTCACGTGTATGATTTTTTCTTACGTTTTCATGGTTAACGAGAATTGTGGATTAGTCTGTGTTGGATTTATTTGAAGAAGCAACGTTTGACAGTCTCCAAAGGTGATCATTTTTGTATAGTTCTTTTTTTTTTTAAGTTCTCAAAGAGACTTTCTTTTAGTTTATTGAAACCACTCGGATAGGGTGCAGATGAATTGTGTTGTTATTGAGGCTAGAAATCTTCTACAATGGCAAGATTAATTCACGAAAATTAAACTACAATTAAACTAATATAATGCAGTTTTGCAAACTGTAATAGAAAGTTCAATAACACAAGTGTTATAACTATATAAACTGCGGAGGTTTGTGCAAAGTTTGTGCATTGTATGGATTAATTCTTGAAAACAGAAGTTCAGTAAGAATTACTTCTTCTTATAAATGATTTTAGTAAATCTTTTACATTCTAAAACATTTTTAAATTATTGCAAGTTTCCAACAAACATTCATGAAGCCCATTTTTGCAGAATCAATTTTGTAAGGTTATATATTAAATCATAAGCTAAATCAATTGTATTTTTTATTTCTCAAATAGTTCTTGTTTCTTTCAATTTTCTTATAATTTTTTGTTATCACCACAGTATAATTACTAGCCTTAGTAACACGATTAATTCTAGGACCCAACGCCTGACAGTTTCCGCGGGATAGCATTTACGGTCCCTCCTTAGGGTGCTTTTCCAAAAGTGTGTTCGACTCGATTATTAAAAAGTCCAATCGGATGCACCCCGGTATTAGGTGCCAAAGTAATCGTCGGATAATTTTCTATCGTCTCGAACACCGCGCGAAGATCGAGTTCGCGAGAATTCAAGGTCGCGCCACTACCGAGCGGAGCTTTATTACGAACATGTTGCATTATTACGGCAAGAGTCGAGAGAAGAATATGTTAAAACGTAGAGACGGTTTACTCCGCGACGTGGGTACATTATCGTTCCACTCTCCATTTTTACTCATTTTCTTTTTTTTTTTCACTCTCCTTGTCTCATTGACGCGCGGCCACTTCGAGCACTTGCTGAATAGCAATGTAACTTGGTGACAATTTTCTTTCTGCTTAGACTGTAGTAACTTTTCTCACTCGTTCGGCACAGAGACCGTGTTATACTTGGATATAACGATACAAGCGTGAGGAATAGTAAACCCAGAGGGATCACAAAGAGAGGTTTGAGTTTTTTACAACTGAAGGTATCGTGACAGTGATTGACATTTCGTCGAGTAAAGGTGTTCCTTTTGTTTTTTTTTTAACCAGGCTTCGTTTCAGACCAATTTTGAGAATTTCGTGCAATACCAAAAATGGTCAACCAACTATTTATGGCTCAAATGGGTTTGTTACCTCGGTGTATTGTTGCTTGTAAGTGTAGCACGTGTCTCCGTGGAACATGAAGTCGACTGTAATGTCGATTATTTGTTCACGCGATATCAGAGACGTGCTAAAAGTGTTCAGGAATCCGCGTTTCGCAGTTACTGACTGAACCACAGTGAGAAACTTGAATTCGAGAATATTACTATTCGGCCATTTGTCGACGGATTGATGACACCTGAGGATGCACTCGTAATGATGCACGATTAGTGTCACGGAGAACATCCGATGTTGCGTGGTGGGGAACCTTAAATATAGCAAAACAGAACATTGGCAACATTGTCACGAATCTAGCGACGGCTATATAGCGTCCTCACACGGTACCAATGCTCCTCGTTGCACAACACCCCGGTTGAACGAAACATTTGAACCGGGCACAGTTGCTCTTGGCTTACTCATACTACGATTTCTCTTTTTTGGGTCTCTTCTGAGTGCAGCGCGCCGAAGAGTGACACAATTGGGGCCTACTCCAATTGCCTGCATTTCAACTAACCGGGAAAGGGTTCGAATATTTCCTTTAGCTAGATAATAATGTAGAAGTTTTTAGTGTCGTTTGTGAAACATTAGCATAAGACACTTAATAGTTAAAAAATTATTTGTCCTGTGAATGGCAGAAACTTTTCGATCTTCACGTAAACGGAGCTCTGTAATCCATAATTTGGATTTGCTCATTTTCCACTCGGTTCTGGCACTTATCGTGTACACACCTTATATATACTATATACACTGTGAATTTCTTTAAACGTTTACGTTTAACACTAAACCTACCATGCGCGGTCAAATAACCGTTTTTGAAATTTCGTTTAGAATTTCTCGTATACAACGTTACTGTATCACCATGTAGCTTATTGACTTTTCCTATAATATACATACAACCCATTTTTCAATATTCACAACTTTCTTTATTGTTTGCTTTCCGAAAAAAATTTGCTAAAATCTCTTTCTATATTAAGATACATATGTTTTTTTGAAGCGGTCATTTGACCGCTCATGGTAGGATTAGGTATACATGAAATGTCGGTAGGTTTAGTGTTAAGAAACTATCAAGTGTCGCGAGTCTGATGCGTCCCAGAGTCTCGATGACTGTTTATTATATTATAAGTGACTTCCATCGCAATCGACGCGTTCAATGTGTCGAGCGGATGTGGGAAAAATTATATTCCTAGAGAAACATCTCCTTCGCCGCTGTTCACAGGGACGAAAGTGTAATGTTTATATTGGCATGTAAAGTGGAGTTAAGTAGGATCACGAATAACCGTAATCATAAAACCGCATATTACGCCGGTTTAACCGTCGGTCGTGCGTTTATTATGAACGACTCCGTGTTTACTGGGGAATGCATGCTCTCGTGAGCGAGTGGGGGGCGGAGAAAAACAAACTTACTAGACGAACCTGTGCGTTCTTCGATCAACCATTCTCTTTTTTTTTTATTCGAAATTTGGAAACTGTTGGTAAAATACGAGACAATTCGATGCAAACAATTCTACCGTATATACAGAATTTTTTTCGTAAAGTATAGACATTTCCGGGAAACAATACTAGTTTGGCATCGATACATTTATAAGTTTTCCGGGTGCCATCCAAAAATACCTTGCAAAATATGCGATTTTTATGAGGTATCTATTAAAATTAACATATTTCTTTTAAAAACGAGGATATTTTCACGTTGTGTTTTAAATCTTATTATTCTTACCGAGTAAAGATATGTTTCATTATATAAACTTATTTTATAAATATAAAGTGTCATTACGTGTTTGTAAATTATATTAAAAAGTGGAAAGTCGATATATCAGCTCAAGGTATTTTTCGGAGAACCCACGAAGCCCGATATATCGGTTCTAAGGTATTGAAAGGGTTAATTATAAAGTTGCAAAATTCTTGGCAACAATGTCTTACCGTAATTAAGATGTGAAAACTTACTCGTCGCAGATCTTCTAAGGTGATTTACATTCCCGCGGCCACACGAACCTTAAATGTTTACATTCGTTCGTAAACTTCCTTCGCGGCTGATAACCATTATACAACAACAATCTTATCTTTGCATTCGCTATGCAAACGAGTGAGCCCGATCCCGTCGGAGGTGTACCACAACAAGGCCCTGAGGACGTGCGATAATTAGTTGTACAGTCGTACGTCGGTGTTTCCCATGTCATCATAGACTGCAACCTTTTTTTTTCTTTTTTTCGAGAATATCGAGGCCGTCGACTTTACCCTTCGACTCTCAATATATGTATGTACACATATTTCCTGTTCCTGAAATTTCGACATTTTAGAATCTAGCTTCGAATTTTCGACTCGGAAATTTCGAGTGACTTTCAAGTCTTATAATTGCCTTTTTATTGGCAACAAAAACAGAGGTCTTATGAATTTAAAAATTCTTCCGGTGTTGCTTCGAATTTTATAAATTCTTCTTTTTCCAAGTCGTTCGAGAACGAAAAAAGACGATCGAGGACGGAGATCTCCAGGGAAGGGGCAGGGGGGCTGATAATTGGCTGCAATTCACTCGCGCAAACATCGAATTCAACAGAAAGAGAGAGGAGGGAACGGTTCGATGAAAGCGAGATAAAAAGGTGGAAGGCAAAAGGCGCTCGCCTAGTTGCAATATTTGACGACCTTCGGGGTTATGGAAATGCGCACGCTATCTGACACACACGTGTCTGTGTGTGTGTGCGCAGAGAGATCCTGTATGGGCGAGTTTCAAAGCTGTCGACGATCTAAGAATTAAATGTCAGTAAGGTCACGGCCGCGGAGGAGCGACAGAGGAATCTCTGCCCGCGAACTGACTGGCCGATCGACGTTAATTAATGAAAAATTCCGCGATAACGCGCCGCGGATCGCTTTGGATACGTATTCGCTCCGTCTTTCTGTCGATTCACGGAATTATTTCTGATCACCGTGTACAGAGTCGGCGTCCCAGGTTCGTGAAACACAGGAGTGCTCTGCGGGAGCGAGCATTTAACGAGACCATCGTAACGCGAACGTAATTTTATACATTCTCGGATTATATATCGTAACCAGACTGTGGATCTTTATGCAGATTCCTATTTAATAAGAATTTATTTCCGCCATTCGAGTGGTCTATTTAGATAAAAATGAAATCGAAACAGTATCAGTCCTGATTAGGCGCGAAGTATCCTAAAAATTCTGATTTTTTTTCAATTCTGCACGTTGGTAGGAGACCACAATCGACCACAATTCGAGTTAAACAACGAATTATTCGAGAAAAGAAATATTCCTCGCGGGTTTCGCGAAGTGTACAGATTCCCCGACTATATGTACAGGCTCAAAAAAAAATGGCCCTAAAACCAGTGTAACGAGTAGCGATCATCGGATGAAATTATGTCGCGATTCACGAAAAAAAGAAAAGTTGTCTTTTCCATTGTTTTTTTTTTTTGGGAAAAAAGCTCCCGTTCAACCGCGTTAACGAAGAAGGCGCGTCTTAATTAAATTTACCGCGGTCAAGGAAAAATGTGTGGCTACGCGTATAAAAGCTCTCGCGGCTGATTTATTGGCGATGGCCGAGAGAGCTGGCTGGTTGGCTCGTTCGCTCGCTCGCGAGTCACCTTCTTACACACAGCTGATTACAAAGTCGTCGAGATGATATAACTGGATTTGCAAGTTGTCACGGTGAAAGAGTGAGAGGCGGACGACGCGAAGACAAGAAAAAAAAATGCGTCTGGTGGGGGAGGCCATTATTGTTCAAGGGCGTCAA